CGGATTCGTGCTCAACTTCATCGAGAAGATCATTATCCAACTCATCGCCATCAGCTTCCACCTGCGAACTTACCAGGACCGTATTGAGCTGAACAAGTTCCAGATTGGTAGTTTGGCGAAGCTGTACAGGTTTTCCAAAGAGAAGATTGCCATGGAAGATTCCGAGTTTGAGCAGGGCGACGACAATGCTCCATCGGGCGCACGCACCCCCGGTCAGGTTCTCACAGAGGCGCAAAAGAACATCAAAGTCGGTTTCAACAAGTTTGGAGACATCGCTGGAAAGGTCGCTGGGGACTTCACCGGTCGTGCGGTTACTGGCAGTGGCCATCCTCACCAGGTTGTTCTGCAACTCATTGGTACTACCAGCGGCGCTCAGGTTCTGGCTCGCCGTCTGTATCGTACCTTTGCGCGACCTGAGACCGAGACTGTTCATTCCGAGGATCTCAACAATGCCTTCGACAGCGACGAGGAAGCCACTGCTGCATTCTCCATGTTCGACAAGGACATGAACGGCGATATCTCCATGGAGGAACTCGAGGCTGTCTGCGTCGAGATTGGCCGTGAACGCAAGTCTATTACCGCCTCCCTGAAGGATCTCGATAGCGTCGTCTCCAAGCTCGACGATGTCTTCATGTTCATTGTGCTGATCATCACCATCATCGTGTTCATCTCGCTAATCTCGACCTCCGCCGCCGGTGTACTAACATCCGCTGGTTCGACCCTTCTGGCTCTATCTTGGCTCTTCTCCGCAACCGCTCAGGAGTTCCTCCAGTCGTGCATTTTCGTCTTCGTCAAGCACCCCTACGATGTCGGTGACCGTGTCATGATTTACGGTAACACCGGAGATCTCGGCCGCGGTGATGATTACTTCGTCAAGGAAATCGCTCTCTTCTACACGGAGTTCAAGAAGATGCAAGGTCACGTAGTCCAAGCGCCCAACAGCTACCTCAACACGCTCTTCATCCTTAACCACCGTCGATCGGGTGCCCTCGCCGAAGCCATCCCCATCATCATCAAGTTCGGTACAACGCTTGAGCAAATCGAAAAGCTCCGCAACGTGCTCCTCGAATTCGTCACTGCCGAGCAACGCGAGTACCAGACCAATATTCTCACGGAACTGCGCGCCGTCCAAGAAGTCCACTGGCTCGAACTCAACGTCGTCTTCTTCTACAAGTCCAACTGGCAAAACGAACTGCTCAGATTGCAGCGCCGCAACAAGTTCATCTGCGCCCTCACCATGGCAATCCAGGAGTGCGAAATCGAAGGACCCCGTATGCGCTACCCCGGTCAGAAGGAGTCTTTCCCGGTTTATATGCAGAATCTGCAGAACCCTGCTACACCTGGTGTCGGTATCAACGGCAACCCAGACCACCCCAACGGCACCATCCGCAACCAAGCCCAAGACCAACCCTTCGTCGCACCCGCAGAAGGCACATCAGACTCTGCCACCGGAACCGGCGCGGGACCAACCCGCACCGGCTCCATTCTGAAAAAGCCAGAGACCCTCTCCGCAATGGGCCGCCGCGTCGACTTCTCGCTCGGCATGAAATCAATGGGCCTAGACGACCCCAGCGGCGACGTCCTCGACGACCGCGAAAACGCATCCCGCGCCCGCGCAACCGTCGTCCGCGTCACCTCGCCCTCCCGCTCTCAAGACCGAAACAACGACCGCCAATCCAATGACAGCGCACGCAGCACCGGCCTCCAACGCGTCGGCACAAACGCCTCGTCCACCACCCGCGAACGCACGCATCGAAACCGCTTCTTCAGTCGCAACCGCTCTGGCAACGACGTCGAAGCTGGTATGGCTGATATCCCCGAGGGTAGCGGTTACGACACCCCGCCTAAGAAGAAGAACACGCTTGATCCCCGCAGTGGCCTTATCAGTCCCCGGGCTGTGAGGAACAGTGGTGGCGAGGATGAAGTGCCTATTACGAGGGTGGGCAGTGCGGATGTGCCTAGGAGTACGGGTGCGTTGGCGCCTAGTACGGCGGATAGTGAGAGGACGTTTGGTCCACCAGCGAGAAGTCGCACGGAAGGGATTGAGATGAGGAGGTTTCACTGAGGAAGCTCATTGACCCTCTTACTCAATGTGTCGAGACAGCTGCGAAGTTGAAGCTGTCGGGAAAAAAGTCTCATTCTGTCATTCCCTCCTTCTATTTCTCGCGTCTGTACAGCGATATCGCTCAGCGTTTTAGTACTCCGTTTACACTAGACTAGTCGACAGACAGATAGCCAAGGGCAGTGCGCCGGGCTCCTCTCTCCTTTCCTTCAATTTGTAGATTTGTAAATAATTCTTTTTCCAGCTATGAAGCCCTGTCGTTGAGAGACATGAGGTAGTTACAATAAATTGCGACAATATCGCTACTTCTCAGAACTGACCAAGTTTCGTGATCGTGGGTTCCACGTGCCATCATTCACATCATGTTCACATCACAACAAGAGCAGATATATCGTTTGAAAGTAAGACTATGCATTCGCGCATAGTTTCTCGATTCCAAGACTACTAATCCCCACAGCTCGTCGTAGCAAGCCGTACAAACAACATCATTCCCTTTGCTTCCTTCCCGTATCTCTGAAAACCTAGTACTCGCCCTCCTCAACGTCCTCCGCATCAAGCGAGTCTTCAGCAACCTCCTCGTAGTCCTTCTCCAGGGCAGCGAGATCCTCACGTGCCTCGGAGAATTCTCCTTCCTCCATACCCTCACCCACATACCAGTGAACGAAAGCGCGCTTCGAGTACATGAGATCGAACTTGTGGTCAAGGCGGGACCAGGCCTCGGCAATGGCGGTGGTGTTGGACAACATGGCGACGCTGCGGTCGACGGAGGAGAGCTCGCTGCCGGGGACGCTGATGGGCCTGGGGTGTTGTTAGAAAGGATTGATTGTAACAAGGTAGGAAGGACGTACTTGGTGTAGTTGATTCCGAGCTTGAAACCAGTGGGGCACCACTCAACCAGATTGAAGGAGGACTTGGCCTTGAGGGCACCGGCGGCGGCAGAGCAGTCGCGGGGAACGATGTCTCCACGGTACAGAAGTGCGACAGCCATGTACTTTCCGTTGCGCGGGTCGCAGACAACCATCTGGTTGTTGGGCTCGAAGCCTATTGCAATTAGCAAGATATCACAGACAATGCAAGACAGTACGAAGACATACACTGGAAGGTCAGGTCAGAAACCTTGAAGCTCTCGTGGGAGCTCTTCTTGGCCGAGATGACAGGCGCGTAACTGATGAGCGGGTAGTGGATACGCGGGTATGGCACAAGGTTGGTCTGGAACTCGTTCAGATCGACATTGAGCGCACCATCGAAGCGCAAGCTGGAGGTGATGGAGCTGACAACCTGGGCGATCAGGCGGTTGAGATGCTCGTAGTTGGGACGGGGAATGTCCAAGCTGCGCCTGCAGATGTCGTAGACAGCTTCGTTGTCAACAAGGAAGGTGCAGTCGGAGTTCTCGATGGTGCTGTGTGTCGACAGAACAGCGTTGTAGGGCTCAACAACGGAGGTAGACACGCGAGGAGCAGGGTATACGGCGAATTCGAGCTTGCACTTCTTGCCGTAGTCGGTCGAGAGGCGCTCGAGGAGGAGTGCACCGAAGCCGGAACCGGTACCACCACCGAAAGAGTGGAAGATGAGGAAACCCTGGAGGGACGAGCAGTTGTCTGTGTTTGTTAGTAGGCGCATTGAGCCGATGTCGGGGATTGTGCTTACCAGCAACGCGACGGATCTTCTCAATGACGCTGTCGACCATCTCCTTGCCGATGGTGTAGTGACCACGCGCATCTACTCCCGTCAGTATGTCTGCATCTGCATTCCCAATAGCTTCCAAGACGCACAGTTGTTGGCAGCATCCTCCTTGCCGCTGATCAACAGCTCAGGGTGGAACAGCTGGCGGTAGGCTCCAGTTCGGATCTCGTCAATTGGCGACGGGTCCAAGTCGACGAAGATGGAACGAGGCACGTATTTGCCGCTGCCAGTCTCGGTGAAGAAGGTCTCGTAAGAGCCACCCTCGCCAAGCTCCTTCGCATCGGGGTTGGGACGGCCATCGGGCAGCAGGCCGTGCTCGAGGAGGTACCTGGGGTAATCGTGTCAGTCTTGACTGTAGGCTTCGGGGCGCATGCGGTTCGCGACAACGTACAGCTCCCAGGCGCTGTTGCCCAGCTGAGTGCCAGCTTGGCCGATGTGAAGGTGGCAGATCTGTAGCTTGGTGTTAGCATTGCGCGCGCTGGAGCCATTCAATTTCTCGGAGTGTTCCAATCTTCAAGCTCTTTCATCTCTTCTTGCTTCTTGCTATTTAGCCACGGTAGAGCTTCATCTCGTCCATGTCGGCGCAAGAAGCCCCCGCTTCCCTTCGCATACTGCGATTGAACAATCCACCAGAAACAAGCCAACTTGACATACCTCTCCTCGCATGGTTACGGTGTTGCTGTGTCAAACAGACGACTGTCGAAGGAACCTCTAGTTTCCGGCGTCGACGCTGGAGGCAGAAGTGTTCTGGGTTCAAGCGGTGAGGAGCGCCGCGTTGGACTAGCTTGGTGGGGTCGCTGCAGGGGCCGCACGGTTTTGTTTACGCGACCGTCGCGACAAAGGCGCCTTGCCACTTACAACCAACAGAACCGTGGCGCCCATGCGGCACAGCGGGGAGACCGCCTTTTCCCAGGGATCCCTCTTCTTGCGGTGTGATGAGCCGATGAAACTGCGCGCCGAAGGACTTTGCAGCTGTCAATCTACGGTGTGAAGCTAACAACTGGTATATTAGTGAAGTATAAAGATGCCGATCCTAACGATTTGAGCGTAAGCCTCGTGCGCCAAGCTGGATGATAATGCGAACCATTTCCGTTTCTAGTCTAAGCTGCCTCGATTGAACGGACAGGGGGATATCTCATGTGCTGAAGGAAACCAAAAGCGCCTCCCATGTGTATGCTTCTTTGTGTGTTCGCGCTTGTCTCGTATGCCGTAGGAGTCTTAGGGTGAGTACGACAATGCTCCTTACATCTCAGCATTACTCTCCAGGCCCATCGGCCACAGCCTCCTCGCCCTTCTTGCTCCACTCACCAGCCGAAGCATCGATTTCACGCGTCGCACTCTCTCTAGCTCCACTCTTGCTGTAAAACTCGTGAACGTCCTCGCATCCCTTTGGCGTCCTGCACAGCTTGCGGGCATCTGCAGACGCCGTCTTCCAAATCACCTCTCTGACCTCTTTGCCGACCTTCTCAATAGCGTCCATAGCCCAAATGACGTCAAGATGTTCGTACCCCTCGATGACCTTGGAGTGTACGACATCGACATGTGGCTCTCGACCGTGTTCGAAACGGCGTAGTAGACGGCGACCATCTACTAAATCATCGGAGCCACAGACCCATAGTGCGAAAGGAGGAGTCTGCGGACCGTACCACGCGTAGCGCTCAGCTTGTTTCCTGTCCTTCTGATGCTCGTCGTCGGAGTCATGCGGTGGACTTCCGGTCTTAGTTCTCGTCTGTTCGATCTCCTCGTCTTCCTTGTCTTCCATCATCTTCTCATCCCTTGTAGCCAAGATGCATTTCTGCTTCGCGAAACATTCCCGCCCGAGCCACCATCTCATACTCTCTGCACTGACATAGACGGGGGAGAATTGAAACATGCGATTTCTCAGATCACGTTCCCAGCGGTCGTCCGTCCAGTTGAACAGAAAGGCGAAGACACGATAACCCATGGAGCCGTAGAATTTTCCGGGAAGGAGACCATGCATAACCATCATGAACGGAATGAAGGCGTGGATGCCGAAAACAGTCCGGAACATGTTTGGACTGATGACTTGCATGAACTTGAACTGAGCCTTCCCGATCAAAGGACCAGCATAGGCGGCAGGTGCTAGTGCGCAGAACACAGATATCTTCTCGCCAATCTCAGGTCGCTGTTCCTTCGCTAATGCCACAAGAGTTTGTGTGGTCCCCTGGCTGTGCGCAATGAGACCCAGCTTTTCGAATCCGGTCTCCGAAAGTACGCGAGAGATAAGGGCAGGCAAGTCCATGACACCCATCTGACGAATGTTCCAAGCCCACATGCGCGGGTCTCCGTATTGCAAAGTGGTATGGCGAGGTTTGAAACCGCATCTGTTGTTGCCAAGCCAGACATCGTAGCCGGACTTTGCGAGGAAGAAAGCGAGACTGTCGTCATCGTTCGTGCAGTAAGCGCCTGCGGACTGTAAGAGGCCGTGTATCATAAGGACTGGGTACTTCTTTTCGCCTTCTTCGTATTGCGACCCAGCAACACCCGTGCGATCTTCGGGGAAAAGCTCTGGCGAATGCGGGGAACGCTGGCCGTCATTCGTGCGCTTGTAGTCACGAGGATTGTAAAGATGCCAGAGTTCGATGATGAAACCGTCTTCTGTCTGGACGTCAAAGATCTCGCAGTCCAGTCCCACTCTTCGTGCATAGTGGCGCACATCGCAGACCAGAGGATCGGGACCGCCTTCTAACGGCTCAAACTCATCTGTTGTTCCGCCATCTTCTCCATTCTCCAGCTTTTGAGCTGACGGCATTGTGTCTCGCTTCTTCCACGCTCTTTCTGCCTCTCTTCTTGCTTGCTTTCGCTTCGTTTCCTCTTCGTAGAACGGTCTTCGCTTCTCAGCATCGCGGAAAGTGAGCAGTAGGAACAGGTGTTTGCACATGCCAGGAAGGGACGTAAAGCCTGCACCTAAGACTATGACGAGCAGGAACATGAATGACAATATGCCAGACGAGACTCGGAAGAACCAACACTGGCATTTCCTCAGAAGTGTTGGAGGTCCGTACATGGGCAGAGGCGGAAACAGAGGATTTGTCTTCGAAGGCGCTTTCGAGTCACCTAGTGGGACATCAGATTTCCCCTCGCCATTCATGTCTGCTTCTTTCGGAGGTATGCCGTGTATCGTTCCATCTTTTGCTTCGCGCAGCCGCGGTGAGAACGATTCTTTCTTAGTAGGATCACGGTCGTCAATAATGTCTCGCAATTCGTTGAGCTTGGTCGCTTCTTCCAGAGGTACAGCAGGTAGTCGATGGCCGTCGGCAGTTTCGATGACAGGATCTTGCGGAGTTATGAACCGTGCTTCAACCGCCTGTGTGGAACCTGTGCCCTCATTCTCTTGCTCTGGTGTGTATTGTCCGAGACGCTTAGCCTGGTGTGCAAAGTCGACTGCAGCCTGTGTCTTGGACTTTCTCTTTTCTTCATGATGGTTGAACTGCTCTTCAACACGGTGTTTGGCGGCTGTAATAGAGGCCTTCGGCATATTGATCTGGGGAAAGCCCTATGGTTCAGCGACGGTGGTGTGGAGCGTCCAGGGTCGCGTGGAGCATAGGTACGGATGCCGGCAAATTAGTCCCTTCTTCAGTGTTGTAATCCCGAGTGGGCGGATCGCAGTCCTCTGTACGCGCAAAAGGGCTGTGAGATGCTGGAGCGCGGTTGAGAGACATGTTGCGGCTTTTTCGTCAATCGCAGTTTTGACGCGGTGGCTGTCCGCGCCTTGTTTGGCAAGAGCATTACGTCAGGAATGGATGAGGAAGCGGCAAATCAGCGATCATGCTGCAGAAGGATGCATCTCAACGACCACATTCAGAAACCCCATAGCGGGTGATGCAAGCAGGGTTTGCGGTTTTGTGGCAATGGTTTGCATGTCGCAGGCACTATTTATTAACATGTGAAGAGGCTGCGGACTTGACTCCGGAATCGCGAATCCCAACGTCAAGCAATGTTAACAGATAGCGAAACTGAACATCAGTTATGTCGGAAGGTATCAGAAGAGCGGTATCTAGACTTGATGTCGCAGATATACTGCTTGTTGAAGATATGCACATGCTGTGGTCGACGTGTGACGTGTGATGTGCGACAGGCCACTTGCGGCCAATTGGAGCTTCGTCGAACCTCAGCGTGTCGTGTCAACTTGACTACAGATTCGAACAAGACAAGCCAACGTGTAGTTCTGAGTCGTGGGTGCCCGTTGGATTCCTGCTCCCGATCAGTTGAGTGGACGCGGGGATTCGTGGCAGGTAACCATGTCCGAGCGGGCTAGTTCTGCCGAGGCAATGCGGCTCTCTGGTGCTATCTGATGCCCGGGCTGATCGCACGCAACGAACAGAGCCGCGAATGCTCATACACCTGCTCATTGAGGCAGACATCCCTCGTTAATCCATCATGGACGCGCAGAATGGAGTCGCCAACCCACGGAAAAGAAGACGGAGAAGACGTCTTGACCGCCCTCCTATTTCGGCGCGACTACTGCTCGACGACCGCGTGAAGGGTGAGGTCGGAGTGCTGTCGGAGGATCTCTTCAATGATCTGTTCCCTGGAGCGAGAAGCAAGAGCGCTGGTATGTGGAAGGAATGTTTGATAGTAGATGGGAGAGGTGGCTGACAAGAAGAACAGCCAATGGAGACACGCCAGACTCGGATCGCATCCAACACGTCGCAATCACCCCGTGGCTGCCGACCTCCATCGCCGCTTCCCAGAACACTCCCTGGACCATCCTGCCAGTCCGATCAGCCGACAAAACGGAAACCGGCACAGCGCGCCCGCATTCCTCACTCCAGATCCCCACGTCGTCCCTCGCACTGCAGTCCTTCTCCCAGCTCCTCCAAAATGTCGCCCCGAATAAGACGCAGAGACGGGATACGCCCATCGAGGTGCGCATATACGATGTTGTGCCGGTCGGGCTTGATACAGTATACGTCAATCTGGACACGGAAGCGCTGCGGAAGCTAGATGAGGTGCATGCGAAGTTTGGCGGAGGCTTCATTGCTCAGATGAATGGCTCATCACGAGCTCCGAAAAGCCGCTATGTGGAAGCGAACGGAACAAAAGGCAAGGCGGTGGATCTCGCGGCGCAAGAGGAGGCCTGGCGACAGGCCGTACGCGAAGCCCTACAACTACCTACTGTGCTTCATACTGGCGACCTGCTTCCTCTGAAGCTACCCGCGCATCCCATCACCCACGTCCCGCCTCCACCAGCCAAGATCAGCGCCTCTGAACCCGTGTCGCAAGGTCTCTTGCTACCGAGCACGAGGATCGTCATACTACAGTCGCATCGAAGTAGCTCTAAGCAGCCCGTCATCATGCCTCCGGTGAAACAGCCTCCGACGACCAACGGATTTGGCGACGATGATGAGGCTGACGACACCTCGAATGACACCTTCTACTCGGCCGCAGAGGACAACTCGCGCAATGTCTCTCCACCCGACGAGGAGTCTGCAGATAACTTCGAGTCAGAGCTTTCGGAGAGCGATGCGGGAGACCTGTCCGACGAGTCCGACGACATCATATCGCTGAACGCGCCTATGCTTCCGCCTCAGTCATCCGGTGCACTTTCAATCTTTTCCTCCGCGACCCCACGACCCGGCAACTTCGGACGCCCTAATGGCATCGCGACGCCAGGCTCGGTATACTCCAATTTCACAGCTACGACAGCCCGTGGTGGTCCGGCAAATAAGAGTAAGGTCTTCAAAGCCCAGGGGCTTCTCCAGCGTGTCCCAGATGACCTTATCCATCCGAAGCCGGGAAGCGAGGATGATGAGGAAGCGCGCGTATTCGTCGACATCAACACACTGGTCAAAGTCGGTTGCTTTTCGGGCGACTGGGTCAAGCTTGGGGGCACCGAAGCCCCTTCATCACATCCGCTCTGGGGCTTGAGTGCATTCGGCGGAGTAGACGAGGAAGATAATACGAATTGGCGCCCCGTCAGGGTCTTTGGCTTGCCAGAAAACATGTCCAAGAAGGTTGCGCGATATCCGGTACAAAAGATGGCAGATACCGACCGAAGAAGTAGTTTCTCGGGCTTCTCGCAACCAACCTCGTCATTGCATGCCTATCTCTCGCCAATTCTTCTCGCAAACCTAGGCAGTCCTTCTCACCTCCGCATCACTCCGCTAGTCCCCAGTCAGTCTTCTCATCTTCCTAGGAGCGCCATTCAGAAGCCACGTCTGAATAGCTCTTCTTTGCCTCCGTCTGCCAAAGAGGTCACCCTTATGAAGGTGTCAACGCCTCTGTCGTCAGATCGTCTACTTCAACCCAGTCTCTTCGCGGCATTGAAAGACCACTTTGAGCAAAAGAGGCGGATTGTAAAGAGTGGTGATCTGATAGGCGTATCAATCGACGAATCGCTTGGCCGGGCGGTATTCCAAACCGCGACAGAAGAAGACGCTGGCAACGATGAGCTGCTGGCCAGGGCCAAACCAACCGCTAGCGATGAAAGTACCAGCGTCAGCAGCCGCAATCCAAAGGTCGTGTCCTGGTTCAAGATTGGCAATGTATCGAGTTCTACCCATGCATCTCACGACGGCGAAGAAGCCGACATATGGGGTGGTGCTGTCACCGTAGATGCTGCCAGTACCAAAATGGAGATGAACGGCAGCGAGCAGGGCAAGACTCCAGCTCCCATCAACAATGCCTGGCAATACTATCTTGGTGCCAAACGAGCCCCTGTTTCGAGCTCGCAAAAGACGATGTCACTAGACGAGCTGCCCAAGCCCTACATTTCATCACTTCGCAGACGGTTGCGAGAACTCATGTCTGTGGCTACCAGTCCACGAGCCATCCACCTGGGCCTGCCGCCTATCGCAGTCTTGATCACCTCGACTCAACGTGGCATCGGCAAGTCTACTCTCGCTACGAAAGCTTGCGAAGACCTCGGTCTGCACACTTTTGCCATCGATGCGTTCGATATTATCACCGAAGGTGGTGCTGGGGGTGGCGATGTCAAAACAGAAGGCTTTCTGAAAGCTAGGGCAGAACGAGGCTTGACGTGTGGCGCTGAGTACACAGCGTTGCTCGTGAAGCACGTCGACGCACTCAACGCCGATCGCATGAACACCGCGCTGAAAGAGATATTGGCCGACTCTCGCGTGCTAATTGCGACTACAACCGAGATTGACAAGGTACCAGAAGGCATCCGAGGACTCTTCACTCACGAGATTGAGATGACAGCACCCGATGAAGGCGAACGAGAAGGTATTCTAAGAAGTATCGTGGACGATGCTGGCATTAGGTTGTCTCCTGAGGTCGATCTGGGCAATGTTGCCGTCAAGACTGCCGCTCTTGTGGCTGGCGACCTTGTGGATGTGGTTGATCGAGCTCTAGTCGCAAAGCAGCAACGTCTCGAAGCGCTCGCCGCTTCCTCTACAAAGACACTCTCCTCATCTGAGACAATCACCACACGCGATATCGAACTAGCAGGAGGTCACTTCAGCAACAGTCTCACAAAAGCCGATCTAGACACCGCAGTAGATGCAGCACGCAAGAACTTCGCAGATGCCATTGGAGCACCCAAGATCCCCAACGTTGGATGGTCAGATGTCGGTGGTCTCACGCACGTGAAAGACGCTGTCATGGAGACTATCCAACTCCCCTTGTCGCGTCCTGAGCTATTCGCCAAGGGTATGAAGAAGCGCAGTGGTATCTTGTTCTACGGCCCACCCGGAACAGGAAAGACGCTGCTTGCAAAAGCAATCGCTACAGAATTCTCCCTCAACTTCTTCAGTGTCAAGGGACCCGAGCTGCTCAACATGTACATTGGTGAGTCTGAAGCCAATGTACGTCGTGTCTTCCAACGCGCCCGCGATGCCCGTCCTTGTGTTGTCTTCTTCGACGAATTGGACTCTGTTGCACCCAAGCGTGGTAACCAAGGTGACAGCGGTGGCGTTATGGACCGTATTGTCAGTCAACTGCTCGCCGAGCTCGACGGCATGAGTGATGGAGGAGAAGGTGTTTTCGTTATTGGAGCAACGAACAGACCCGATCTGCTTGATCAAGCCCTACTACGTCCCGGTCGCTTCGACAAGATGCTGTACCTGGGTGTCTCCGATACCCACGAGAAGCAGCAGACCATCTTGGAAGCTCTGACAAGAAAGTACGTCACATTCCCCTTTCCTGTTCCTTCGAATCGCCCGGATGCTAACACGTTTCACCAGATTCACACTCCACCCCTCCCTCTCTCTCCAACGCGTATCCCAAGGTCTCCCCTTCACCTACACAGGAGCAGATATGTACGCCCTCTGCTCCGACGCCATGCTCAAAGCCATCACTCGCTCCGCCAAGATCGTCGACGAAAAGGTCGCTGCCCACAACGCCACCCATTCCCCTCCCATCACCATTGCCTATTTCTTCGACCATCTCGCCACAGAAGAAGACACCGCCGTCATGGTCACAGAAGAAGACTTCATGGAAGCCCACAAGGAACTCGTACCTAGTGTGAGTGCAGATGAACTCCGGCATTACGATAGGGTCAGGAAACAGTTTGAA